GTACATTATAGTACCTTTTTATTGCTGAATCCTTTAAATATTCTTAAACATTTGGAGTATTTTGAAATTTCACATATTCCTAAATTTTCATGATTTATAGGTGTATTTTTTAATCTTAGTAGTATTCTAGGTCTACACAAATCTCTAGTTCATCTAAAAATAATTTTTTTTCAAGATGAAAAGAGGCTTGATTAGTACTCCTCCATCAGATATGCTTCCTACAACAGAAGGTGGAAAATCAAATGCCTGGTTACGGCAAAAAAATGCTGGAATATATGTTCGTCCTCGACTATTCTCTCCCTATGTGGAGGAAGCGAAGGTAATGAAAATCATTTTAAGATATTGGAGTACATTTTATGAACTAGCACAAAGATACTCATTGTGGTATTGTAATAAACATTTAGAAATCGCCTAAATATCCAGTAATAGGGAAAGTGAAAGTAAACTCTACTTCAACTACTCACGGGAATAGTTTTCTGAAATGTTTAATTATCAAGCGTATTTTTATAACTTAGGTCATGTTGAATTGTGTTTTACATTTTTCTCACCTTAGTTGTGTTGCAAATTGTTAATTTGGAAAAAAATAAATTTTACTGAGAAATGATAGTATTTTGTGATCTTCAAGATGGGAAAAATGTTCTGAAAGAAAATTGCACACATTTTGTCTTTCTTAAACTAAAGAAATGACATGGTTTCTTATAATGTGTTTCTGTAATGGCTGACTGTTGGAAATTATGTTTAGTTTTAGAATAAGTGCACAAAACTAAGATAAAATTTCAGGCTTATTAAGTAAATTGTGTATTATAATATGAAGAACCAAGAAAATATGGTAATGTGAAAATGGAATACTGTGATGTTTATTAGCTGTATTTGGCCATTAGAACTTTGGGATGGCCTTTTGAGGAACTGACACTCTTTGAAAGTCAGAAATCACCATTAAGCTTTTTGAAACAAATTAACAGGCAAAACATCGTGTTTCGGTATAGAATTAAGTTACCTTAATTTTTTTCTCATTTTGATTGTCAGAGCTCCTAGCTTAAGATATGCGAAAGGATTTGTGAGAAGTTAATTTTATTGAGTAGGTCAGTAATCTACCTCTTATTGAGTGGTTGGCACTTTAAATAATCTAAAATAGGAAAAAAGTAAAATGGTTGGGTCTGGTTTTTCGGAAATAAGTTCAGTGCTTAACAGCACACAAGTAGCAGAGGCCTTTACCAAAGATTGTGTCTGGTGACAAAAGGTCTGTAATAAATGATCCTGCATTCTGCTCTGTCTCAGAATGGGGCAGCGGGGAGCTAATCAGATAGTCCTCCTAGAACTTCCCTGTTCCCTGATGGCTGAACCCACAGTAAATAGATAATTGTCCCCAGGAAATGTGGAAGGGTTTATACATCATTTTGGCCACTCTGTAGTTTGTTGAGATTCATCTGAAACTAAATTAACAATTGGGTTTATATATAGATCTGTTGAATTTAAAATCAGTCTTTAGTATTTTGTATTTTGAGCATTTGTTGTTGGATCTGATATTTAGCTCATGTATAGATTGTTTTTATAGTAACTTTAGGTATAATTTCCTTCTGACTAATTTTATACCTTCAAATCTCGAATACTTCAGTTAAAAGCAAACAATCAGAAGATAATTATTTCTTTTCAAAGATGATACAGAAAGATTCTCAGGGGTTCTTTCTCCTTTCACTATTAACTTTAAGCTTCATGCACTGAAAACAATAAATTAATTCCTTTTTTATATGATGAAGGCTATAATCTTTCTCCAAACGTGATTTACAGAGATGAGTTGACAGATTCTCTTAATACTGAATCATTATTTCAGTCAGTGCTGGATGAGATGATGGTGGAGCAAACAGATCTTGTGCGTTTGCGAATGGTTAGAATGTCCAACGTGCCAGACACACTTTACATGGTCAACACCGCCGTGCCACAGTGCTGTCACATGATGAGCCACCAGCAGATCAGCAGTCACCAGTCAAGCCCTCCTTCAGTCGTAGCCAATGAAATTCCAGGTAAGATGGTAGCCTTCTGTGGGGCATTTATATTTAAATGAATAATCTGATCATTTTTGTAGCCTTTTTGTATGTGCTAATTCTCTCCACTTTCCAGTACCCATTATGCATTGTTCTCATTAAAGAATTAGTATTTAATAAGCTAGGTTTTTTTGTTTCATATTTTATTTTCCAGTGTGTACAGGTTTTCCAGTTAGCCCCGAGTTTCTCAACCTTGGTGGTCTTGACACAATTCCTTGTTGAAGGGGCTGTCCTGTGCACCAAAGGGTGTACAACAGCATCCTGGGCCTATACCCACTAGAGGCCAATAGCATGTGCACACACGCATGCGCACCGCACGCACGCACTCCTTTGTGACAACCTTTTGGAAACATTTTTATGTTTCTAGACATTGCTAAATGTGCTCTGTGGGGCAAAATCGCTTCCTGTTGAGAACCACTAGTTCAAAGGAATTCAGATTTTTCATCACCATAAGCGTGCTCACGTAAGACTCTGAGGAGAGTTATAAACTTACATCTTCGAGTCTAGACATGTGCTCCCAAATGTGATCACTTGTTGGTTTCCTAGAGATCCATCCAGCTTCCCAGGATCTGCTCTGTGAATTCTGTTGTAGCGCAGGCTTCTGTCATGACTTTAGGGAAATTTTTTCCTTGACCTTAGAGATACAACTGTTACGTCCAAAAATTTCTGAGCATCAGTTAATGTTGATTTTAACCAAAGGACGCTAGTATCAGTTTTTGAGGTAAGATCCACAGTGATCTGGGGGTCAGAAATTTTATAGAAATTTATCAATTTACCAATTACCACCACAAGATTCAAAAACATCAGCAGACTGTGGCATTATTAGAAATGGCACTATTAAAAAAAAAAAGAAATGGCACCATTCACTTTCTGCTTATTAATGTCTGTTTCAATTAAGGACAAATAAAAGAATAAAGGAACTATTAATTGAACACATACATTTTATTCTGGGACTAATGTCTGATCATTGTTGGCCTTATCAGATTTAGCCACTATGGACAAAATATTGACAATCATTTATTTAAAAAGTATACAACAGTAGGAAAAGAAATACTCCTGTAGCTGATTTTTGCAGATATTGAAGCTATGGTCATTAGCCTGGTTTTATCAGCTTGAGTTAATACAATTGAGTAGCAGCAAAATTTAATCTTAGACCTGAACCTAAAAAGCCCAGAGATGTTCACAATTAAGTACGTTCAGAAAAATAAGACTTGTCTTTGTTTTCTTATTTAACAAGACCTGGTCCTATTCTGGCGTTATCTGATTCTTCCCTCTTCCTTGCTCACCTCACCCTAAGGAAGGCCCTATAGCTTTATTGGAGAAGATGCCAATAAGGCTCATATCCTGGCTCTGCCACTTTATTTGTGTGACTTTTTTTTTTAAGCTATTTTTTATTTATTTATTTGACAGAGAGAGAGCACAGGTACGCAGAGGGGCAGGCAGAGGGAAAGGGAGAAAGCAGGCTTTCCACTGAGCATGGAGCCCGACGCGGGGCTCGATCCCAGGATCCTGGGATCATGACCTGAGCTGAAGGCAGTCGCTTAAGCGACTGAGCCACCCAGGCGCCCTATTTGTGTGACTTTTGACAAGATAAGTTACTTCCCTGAGCATTAATTTCCTTGTCTGTGAAATGGTTATAATATCTCCTTTCTAGGGTTGTTACGAAGATTTGAGGAAGTACCATGAGTGAGAGGCTTAGGAGTTTGCCTGGCACTAAGTAAACACTCAGTAAATGATAGCTCCCCTTTCCCCAGAAATAATAGGCATGGCCAGTCTAGTCAGTTTGTCTCTTAGATATTTATAGACGGTATCCCCAGTTCCCCAGCCCCCTGCAACAGCCTTAGCCCGGGTTCCGAACTGGTGTTCCTGCCTCTAACCTAACTCCCGTTCTGGCCTTTACACCAGGGCTCAGCAGACATTTTCCAGGAGGGCCATTTGGTAGATATTTTAGGCTTTGTTGGCTCTGCAGTGCCCATCACAGCTACTTAACTCTGCCATTGGAAGCACCAGAGACACTACCTAAACAAGTGGGTGTAGCTGTGTGTCAGTAAAACTTTATTCACAAACCCGGTGGCAGGCTTGATTCAGCCAACCCCTGCTTACCCTGCTCTCAGAGTGCGATTACTGCCTCACCGCCCTCCTCTGGTCCTGTCATTCCCCCGTACAAGCGACTGCTGTAGTTCTTAGCATGACCCACTCCTACCCATCTTTCTCGACTTCTCTCTTCCTATTCTCCCTGCTTGTACCTCTGAAGCCTAAGCTACTAGTGGTGTCCGCTGCTCGTGCCGTGCTGTCACCTGCCTGCTTGACACGGGCCTGGTCCTTCTGCTCGAGACACGTGCCTTCCCTCTACTTTCTTTACCTGCCTGGTTTTCTCTCCTTTTTCCAGACTCAGATTCCCTTTTCCAGGCAGCATATAAGTTACTGTGTTTCCAGGAAATTAAAATGCTATCGACAAATGTATAAGAAGATTCTAATGCAGAACACATGCTTTCCTTCTTGTGCTCAGTGGGTGGGTGGTCTTGCATGCAGCTCAGATATTTGGTGAACCAGCCCTTTCTTTTTTCAGTTCCTCGTCTCCTCATTATGAAAGACATGGTCAGACGTCTGCAGGAACTACGGCACACTGAGCAGGTGCAGAGAGCCTACGCACTCAACTGTGGGGAAGGCGCCACGGTCAGCTACGAAATTCAAATTCGAGTATTAAGAGAGTTTGGTCTCGCGGACGCTGCTGCAGAGCTCTTGCAGGTGGGGATGGCATTCGACTAGGTGCAATAGGGAGACTTGATCATTGTGCAGAAGTTATTTCAGACCTCTCAAGGAGCCCTCACGGCATGCGTCTGTTTCTTAGTGCATTACCTTTCGCTGCCTCCAGGGACTGTGATAGCCTGGAAGTCCTGTCCTGTCCGAGGCACCCATCCCCCCGCCCCCTGTAGAGGCCGTGTGTAGGGTGGATGGAGCGCACGGGCTCTGGAGGGAGAGCTGAATTTATATCTTGGCTCTGCGTCTTCTCAATTAGTTAATTTGGGCCAACCACATAACCACTCCGAGCATCAGTTTCCTTACCAGTAGAGTGGATGTTGTGATGATAAGAGGTGCTGTATGTAAGCAGCTGTGTCTCTTGTGCTTAATAGGCCCGCTGAAAGTTCATGGTGTGCATCCGCATCGAATGTGAAAGAGGAAGTAGAAAACTCTGACCCTCTACTGCTTTGTCCCTCTTTGGGTCTCTAGATTTCAGGTTGTGGCCTACTACCAGACTTAACAGATCTGCCAGATGCCCCTTTTCTTGACTCTCCCCTCCTCCAGATAATAAGAAATTTTTTGCATGAAGTTACAAATCCTTGAGAATCAAGGAATGACTGCTTTTTTGTTTTGTTTTGTTTTTTTCTTTAACGAGCAGAGGAAAAAAACTCATTTCTTACCAAGTATCAGAGCAGTAGCATCGGTTTTGTGATGAAGGAAGAACATGTAAAGTGGTCTGTTCACAGCCGTGAAATCAGAGCCTTAAATAAAATGTAATTTTGTCTGGTCAAGTGATTGAATTTTTTTTGCCCCTGACTCCAGACTTGTTTAGCCTGAGTCTTCAAAGGGGAATGTGGTTGTGGTGTTTGCAGGGCAGCAAGCCGTTCTTGATTTTCATTTTTTGCCGTGGTTTCCATCCCTGAAATAGAGTCTTGTTATCTGTTCATTTCTTTTCCTTTTGCCATTCTAAATTGTATCTTAATTTGATATCTTAAGATGTATAAAAGTTTTATAAATTAAATATTCTTATATAATGTTTATCAAAATACTAATCAAACTGAGTCATACATAACAGGTAGAGGTTAGCATTATATAGTTCTTATTTCAGAGAGAGTGTAGATGTTCTGTCAGAAAATTTTAGGAGGATCCTCCCTTGTATGCCTTTTCTTCCTTTGGTACTTAATTTTATTTTCTCAGCAAAGACACGTTTGAATTAGGTTTTATTTCCTCCTTTTGCATTATCGCATAATCTTGCAAAAGATAACTGATCTGATTGCTGGAATGTTTAGTTAAGCAGCTCTCCTTGATAGCCATATCTTAGGCTGCAGAACCTCCACTGTTTCCTTTTGTGCTGTTATGAAGGTAATTTTTTCTTGGGCTTCTGGCCTACAGGAATATGTTGTGCCTTTTACTCTTGCTGAATGTGGTTTTCTTAGGATCTCACTTAATGCTGTCAACCTGTAAATTTCTATCTAGGAAATTTGCTAATAAATGTCCTTTTTGTTTGTTTGTTTGTTTGTTTGTTTGTTTGTTTGTTTTAAATCTTTCTTAGAATCCTCACAAGTTCTTTCCGGATGAACGTTTTGGGGATGAAAGTCCACTCTTGACACTGAGACAGTCTGGGAGATGTCGTGTTAACAGTACCCCCACTGCAGAAACCATGTTTACAGATCTGGACTCTTTCGTGGCCTTCCATCCACCTTTGCCCCCTCCACCACCTCCGTACCACCCCCCAGCTACCCCAATCCATAACCAACTCAAAGCAGGCTGGAAACAAAGACCTCCCAGCCAGCACCCTTCACGTTCGTTCTCCTATCCCTGTAATCATTCGCTGTTTCACTCCAGAACGGCCCCTAAAGCCGGCCCCCCTCCAGTCTACTTGCCAGGTGTGAGAGCCGCAGCACCTGATTGCACCAACACCACAGGACCGGGGAGACAGACTGTTGCCGCCACCGCCGCCACCACTGCCCCCCCTTCGGCAGCAATAGCCTGTGAGAAACCAGTGGTAAGTTAGCACTTCGCTGATTTACCTAAAATAAAATGTTCCTGGAATATTAGAAGCAATTTCCCTGACCCCAGGAGCCCTACTGGGACTCAGTAGTGCCCAGGGGTGTTACCGACAAGCTGAAGGCTTAGACTGCAGGGCTGTGGAAAAGAGAGAGAAGGATAATGGAGCAGAGTGGGAGTGTGGGGGAGAGACGTTGTGTGCGTCGGGGCTAGTTGGTACCTGCCTTTTCTTCGTGTTCATTGCAGGTACTTGGAGGGGGTCATGTTACTGGGCGGTGCCAGTGGATGTTACCAGTTTAGTGATGCTCCATTCAAGCACATGTCTAGAAGCTGCCCTCATTTCTATAGAATCTACTCTTCTACCGAATGCTTTGATGGGCCGGGAAGGGGAAGTTATTTATAGCTGTGTATACTGTCAGGAGCCATGTGGTGAAAGACTCCCTGCTCAGAAAATGGACAGATGATCAGTCCTTCGGCCTGGCTGCCTGTTCCGTCAGAGCACACATTTGCCTGGGGATCACAGTAGCTAGCGTCAGGAGCTAGTAAACGAAGCAATAATTCCTGGTCGATTTTGCATTGTATTAGAGGTTGAATTTCTGTTTAGATAATACCTTTGGGGAAAAAAAAAAAAAACAGTAGTGATTTTTGAACCTTCCTGCTCAGTCACACATTGTCAGTGGATTTCAATAGAAAAACAAAAAATACATATATTAGTTCAGGGAATCTTTATTAAAATGTGATTTTCTGGACACTGGACCTAGTGTACACCTTGGGTCAAATTATGATCCTTCCTTACCTTATACGCTTCTACCTACTCTCCCTGCTGTCCCCCCAAGCCCCTAAAAAAGAAGAAACAATAGGGATTGATAGTGTTTGATAGGCCAAATTTCCATCCTATTGGCCTTGCCCTCACTTCCACAATTTTAAAAGTTCTACTACTTTTTATTTGAAATAAAATTCCCCCTTTAAAGGTAATTTATTTGTATGTTCATTGCAGTCTTTTTTTTTTTTTTAAGATTTTATTTTTAAGTAATCTCTACATCCACCGTGGGGCTTCAACTCACAACCCCGAGATCGAGTCACACATTCCACCGATTAAGCCAACCAGGTGCCCCACTGTAGTCTTGAATATAATAAAGAGAAATTGGAAACAACCCTAATGTCAGCAGTGGGAGAATGGCTAAATAAGCCATGATTCATCAATACCATGCAATATTATGCTGTAATTAAATAGTAACCTCCAAATTTGGTGACAGACTTATATATGTACTACATTTTGTGAAAATTAATATATGAGCAGAGAGGGGAAAAAAAAAAAGAAAAATACCTCAAAATGTTAACAGTGGTTATCCCAGTAGGGAAGATTAGTGGGGTTTTTTTGTTTTGTTTTTGTGGCCTTTAGGATTTTCTATATTGTAATTTTTTTTTTTTAGATTTTTAAAACCTATTTATTTTATTTATTTTTTTTTAAGATTTTATTTATTTGAGAGAGAGAGAATGGGAGATAGAGAGCACATGAGAGGGGGGAGGGTCAGAGGGAGAAGCAGACTCCCTGCCGAGCAGGGAGCCCGATGCGGGACTCGATCCCGGGACTCCAGGATCATGACCTGAGCTGAAGGCAGTCGCTTAACCAACTGAGCCACCCAGGCGCCCTAAAACCTATTTATTTTAGAGAGCATGCGAGCAAGCACGGGGGCGGGAGGGGAAGAGGCAGAGGGAGAGAGACAAGCAGGCTCCATGCTGAGCCCAACATGGGGCTCAATCCCACAACCCTGAGATCACGACCTGAGCCAAAATCAAAAGTCAGACATTTAACTGACTGAGACACCCAGGCGCCCTTATAGTGTTATCATTCTTAAAAATAAGCATGTATCACTTTTATAATGAGGAAGCAAAACCAATGAACATCATTGGTACAAAGAGGGAGCCGTGGGCCTTTTTCTTTTAACCCTCCCTTCTCCTCTCTCTGTTGGCAGTGTACACAGCCTGTGCTAAATGATCTAATGCCAGACATCGCCATGGGCGTGGCCACACTGTCACTCAAGGACAGGAGGCTCCCAGAACTGGCTGTAGACACAGAGCTAAGCCAGTCCGTTTCTGAAGTGGGACCAGGGCCTCCCCAGCATCTGTCATGTATTCCACAGAGGCATACGCACACGTCTCGAAAGAAACACACACTAGAGCAAAAAGCAGATGCTCGAGAAAATCAGCAGGAATATCCGGATTTCTATGACTTTTCAAATGCTGCTTGCAGACCTTCTACACCTGCTCCCGGCCGACGCACCCCTTCCCCTTCACAAGGTGGATATTTTGGTCCTGATTTATATAGCCACAATAAGGCATCACCAAGTGGCTTAAAGTCAGCCTACCTACCTAGCCAGACCTCTCCGAAAAAGCAGGAAGAAGCTAGGAGAGAATATCCACTTTCCCCTGACGGGCATCTTCACAGACAAAAGAATGAGCCAATCCACCTTGATGTTGTTGAGCAGCCACCCCAGCGGTCAGACTTTCCTTTGGCAGCCCCAGAAAATGTTGGCAGTGGTCCAGCCCATGTCAGGGGACGAACAGCAGTAGAAACTGACTTGACTTTTGGGCTGACTCCCAACAGACCCCCACATCCTGCGTGCAGCTCTGAAGTTCCGGAAGAGCGATCCAGTAGGAGACTGGTGGACAGCGAGTCCCTGGGCCACGGAGCTCAGCGAAATACCGATTTAGAAAGGGAAGATTCAATAAGCAGGGGAAGGAGGTCACCGAGCAAGCCAGACTTCCTCTACAAAAAGTCTGCCCTCTGAGAGCAACCTCCAAGTCGTTTGTGCCTGAGATGTGAAACATCCCATTTTATGATGTAACCCGACAACTTAGAGACCAGTTTATCGATGCCAGCTAACTCAGTTTCATGTTATTTTAGTCTAGTTTTTGTATATACATGTTTATGAGACGTGGCATGCTACGAGGGTTCTTTTGAATGCTGCATCTGTCTGTTTTGTGTTTGAACAGTTGTGTGGGGAAGCATTTTTAAGAGCAAGCAAGCTGGCACTTTTTTTTTCCTCTTTACAAATGATGGAATTTTTTTGCACTTGTACATTTATTTTACCTGTATTGATTTTATATCAGTATGTCAAACTTTATTGCCACATTTAAAGGAACCGTATTTTCATACTTTTTTGCATTTTACCTTTCATCTACCAGTTTCCACGTGCATTGGACTGCACACTAAGATGTATTTTCTTATGAAATAGTTCTGTGCTTATTTTTTAATTATAGAAATTCCAAAGAACAGCACATCAAAATGCTCCTCTCTCTTCAGTAATTGTTTTAGTTCAGAAATCTTCCTGCTCAATCTCCATAAGTCTAAAATCATTCTTCCTTAACAAGTCTTGGGAGCTGGTCTTCATTCCTCCAGCGGGAGTCCAGTCAGGATCCTGACGTTTTCTGGTTCGGTAAAGAACCAAAAGGAGCAAAGCCTTTTGTGCCCAGGCTGAAGCTGTAGCTTTGTTCACCGTGTGGGCGCCATCAGAATCCCCACTGATGGTGGTAGTGCGCATTAGCATAGCGCTAGCTGAGGTTCTCAAGACATTGGATTTCTTGGAAGCCTAAGGCAGCGGAAATAGCGAAGTAACTTAAGGGTTTGCCCGACGGGATTTCTGGTTCTGAGCGCCGACTCTCCAGCTGAGACGGGAAATGACTGCTTGCTGCCTTCAGTTTTCTTGCTCTCTGTGGGAAAAAAAACAAAAGGGCTTCAGTCTTACGGATGTCATTTGGTGTTTGTAAGCCTATGTTTTCTTTTAAATGTTTTTCAAAGTTTGTCTGAATTTTGGTGTCCTAAAAAAGTTGTTGAAGGATGCATAATGCTTTGTCACCAAAAAAGAAAAAGAAACCTTTTTTTTTTTTCCGAGTGAAACACTACATGTCCTACTTGAACTCCACTGGGGACGTTGGTTTGGGATTTTACTGAACCACTGAGCACATGGGATCTTTTAAGATCCTCTCCCTTGGAAGGGCAATGTGTGAGCTAAGGACTGTTTTTTTTCTTACTCTCCAATGTAAATATATTAGTATTTGAGTTTTTAAATCACTTCAACATTATTTGAGCATTCACTTTGTATTTTTATGAACACATACACACACAGCCGTAGCACTTAGAAAAAAGGGACTTGCCGAACATTCCCTCATGTGAAGGATGTCTGGGAGCCTCTTTTCTACGTATGTATATATAAATAAAACTATGAATCACTCACACTCACTCTAAAACTATGCAGGGCTAGGGAGCCTTTACAAGCTACCATATAAATGAATTACATGCACTTTTAAGTAAATAGGTTTCTATTGGGCGTCAACAACTCTGATTTCTCCCGAAGCTGTAGTTTCTCTTGACAGTCTTTCCTACTTTACCCTGTGGATATACACTCAGGAATAATCTGACATTTTCAAAAATCCTAACAGTAGGTAGTCACAAAGACGGGGAAGGTGTCAGTCTGTCTGTGTACACCGGCACATCGCTGCCCCGCATTCTGCCTGCTCGTTAGCTGCTCCTCGCATGGTCGTCGGGGCTGGTGGCAGTGCGCGCTCAGCTCTGCGCCTCCCACAGCAAACACTCGTCCCCTGGGAGGCTGACTAGCATCGCCTTTGAGGCTCCTTTTTTTAAAGGTAGAAAAACATAGGACTCTGTGCTCATTTTTAGGAGGTTTGACTCTATAATAGATGATGGTGTCTTTTGAAGCCTATTTCAGTCTCTCTCTTCAGAAACAAAAATTGTTAATTCCATCATATTCCTTAATGTGTATTTATATACATGTATTGACATGAATTATTTTGATATAGTTTTAAATTTCTATTCTGAATTCAGACTGTACTGTGCTGGTACTGCAAATAAGAGTGAGTAGAGCTAATTTGGGTGGGGAAAAGCTTTCTCATCTCTGACCTGTATTTTTTAAAATGTTAGACAAGAGCTGTTTGATGTCACACATTCATTTTCCTGAAAACTTATTAAATATTCTTTCATATCCCCCAAACATAAAAAGAAGTGGCCACTGTTCCTACTTTGATTTATGAAGTTTGCTTTTAATAGTTTAGTAGCTGATCTGACTAAACTGTGTACAGAGAGGAACTCGCTTTAATCAGTGGGACTGTGGACCGGTGGGACTTGCAGAAGGTAAGCAGGTGCAGCGTGCGTATGCTCGGGCAGGCGTCCGTGGACTTCTGACGTACCTTGTGAAGGACGGTGGCTGAGGTAGGTTGGATAGCTGTGTGCGTCTGGCTCTTGAACCCACCTCTCCGACCTTCTGCAGCGCTTACTTGGCATTAAAATTGGCATTAAAATTCTGTTAATGCTGTACTAAAATAAATGTGAAGTCTGAGTTAAGATTGCTCTTAGGAAAAAAAGTATGTATAATATAAAATTTAGGCCGCAGGACCTGGCATTTCACTTGGTTTAGAAATTTCATGAGAAACAAATCTCAAAATAGTGGCTCTCCTCTCGAGGCCACGGACAATCAGGCTGTCAGACAATCGCCACCTTCAGTGCCCGCCATGTTGCAGTTTAGAGAACTACCATTTAGCTCCTCAAGCGGGAAGAGAAGATCCATGTTTCTTCAAGATGCTGTTGGTCCTCTCCTTATATTTTTGTTTTAGTTTTGTGATTTTGATGGATAAGTTAAGTTCAAAGTCACCTGTGACTCGAAAAGAAATAGCAGCATGAAAGGCAAAAATTATCAGTGAAAAACAGCTGTTTCAGTTTTCCATGCACCACAGCCTTCCTCCCGTGCCCCGTGAGGTCCTTATAGGCACACGCCCCTAGACCTAAGTTCTCCTGGCGTTTCCAGAACCAGTTGGATTTTAAGGATTTTTAACAAGTTCTTTATACTTGAGTCTTTTTGTAAAGCTCTCTGTGAAACTTTACCTAATTCTTGGTTTTGCGTCCTCAACAACTCTTATTACTACAGTTGCCACCTATTGTTGGGTTTTCTCTTGACTGGTTGTTGATGTTCTGGCAGCGGGCAGCCCTTGTGCATGTGAACGCGGGTGATGCTGCAGAGCGTGACTGGGGCAGCGGGGGCCGCACGCCGGTCTCTGCCGGGGAAGCGGGAACACTTCTCAGTAACTACTCAGCAAAATAGGTATTTCCATAATGTGTAATCCACCTTTCAGGGGGAAACATGTTTCATGAAACACTTGTAAGACACTTGTTTTGCAATTCTGAGGCATTCGTGTGGAATGAGCTCAAAGGGAAATGTTCATTTGACTTTTTTTTTTTTTTTGGTTGACTTTCAACTGAAAGTATTTTTATGTTGACTTTCAACTGAACTGAAAGTTGAAAGTTACTGTTAAAGCAGCAGTGATGGGTGCTATTCCCGGTTCTGCAATGGTTTACTTTGTCTACTAAGTGGTTTACTTTCAAACCTCATCACACATAACCTTACTAAAAAGAGTTACCGTCACACACTAAAAAGTATTTTTACTATTTTCCATTAACACTGTTGTATGAACAATGTTTTATGAAATGTTAAGTTGTCTTTTTGTCCTGTAGATTGCAATAGCTGTTATATAATTGTTTAATTGGCAAGTCTTTGGATTTCTTTTTTTCCTCTAGAAAACCCTCAGACCATGTGTCAATCTTCCACATTCTGAATATTATAATAGAAAGATTACTTGCAAGTGTGTGTCTTGAAAATAACCTCTCGTGTTTGTGTGTTTACGTGGGTTCTAAGAGACAAGATAAGCTTTGGAAGCCTCATGGTATACCTACACATGACTGTGTATCTGGGTTCCATGGGCAGGTGGTATGGAGTCCTGCTCGTAGATGGGGTGACTGAAAGATAATGCCCCCTGAACCCCACTTGCTGTTTATGTACCACATCTGTCGTTCAGAGGGGTGGTATCTTCTACAACACTGCATTTCTTGTGGTTGTGCTGTTACTGGTATAAAGTCAAGTGCCTTCAATGCTAAAGGCTCAGAAATTTTTCTTAAACTTATTTCATGTCCTATGCAAGTGTTTTCTACAACCTGCATAACCAGTACTTTGTAAAACTTGTTTACGCTTCAATTGTACATAGTGTTTTTTAAAGAAATATATAGTATTTTTATTTAGGTACCTCCAAACTTGAATTCGTCTGTGTGAAGCATTGTAAAACGATACATTTCTCTTTTGAGTATCATTACGGTTGTACAAAGGTTTCCACTGGTTCTATTTTTCTACTGTTACTGATAAGCATGTAGCACTGACTTTATCCTACATATAGTTGGCATTTCAAATAAATGGCTTGTATAGAACCTGCTGAGTTGGATACCGTCTGTTTTAGCCCTAGAGCATGCAGTCCTCAATTATAGAAGTGATTGTACTCCACTAAAGGTAGATTTGGGAGGCTTTCTAGGTGAACTTCCCCTCTGTTTCCAGGATTTCAGTTAACCAGGGGCTCTTTAAAATTACTATGGTTTTCTTGAAAATACCACATTTTCATCTAAATCAAGTTCATTCTCTTCTATTATTTTACTGGGATGCTTCTGAGAGATTTTGGTTTATAAATTTTAGCTGAGAATTACTTGCACAGGGGTCTCCAAAAGAAGTTCAGCATCCTGCCCGTGAGGACCCACACCTGGAGGGTGCCAGGTGCTGTGGTCCGGCCGTGAGAAACCCAGACGCTCCCCAAGACTCACAGGTCTCCATGTGTCTGAGCTCTTTTCCTCTTTCCAACTCGGGCTCATCCATATTTTTCAATTTGAAAGGGTAAGGGAATCATGATCTAGTCTAGGTTTCTGAGAAAACATGCGAAATAGAAAGTTTTCTAAATTCCATCTTTTCAATTGCTGTAAAATCAGTATCGTTTTTTTATTTTAATCATTTCACTAATAAGTTCCATTCTGGCCTTTCCCCCTTCATGTGTCACTAAGGCGATTATCTATATTCTGTAATCATCTTAGGTTTAACTGTGGACTCTCAAGATAAAAGCTAAGGGGTTTTTTTTTGTAGGAGAGCTTCTTAAAAACCTAAAAAAGAAAATTGAATAAGTCAGTGTGTGCGTTCCTACTTGCAGATGACCCCTGGAATGGTGGGTGCCAGCCAGCTCCTCAGCCATGTCAGGCTGTACCTTTCCTCAGTTCATTGAGGAATATTTCTTGGGTCCACTCTTCCCAGCAGACAGAGCCAACAGGATACCTATTCTCAGAAACTCTGGACTCGCCAGAAATGACTTTTGTCCTAGAAACAAAGCAGTACAGAGCAGTAGGAGGTTATCATGGGTGAGGGAAAGACCTGCTTGACATGGCCCAGGAATGAATGAGGGGAGAAATATATGCCAGATTCAGTGCCAGGCACTTTATGTTTTTTTTCCTTTAATCAATGAATTAGATAGTATTTCCTTTAATCCTCTGTGAATTACATACTATTATTAGTGCCATTTTGTCACAGATGAGAAAACCAAAGCACAGAGAGATATCAAGTTACTTGTCCAAGGTCAAACACACCCAATACGTCAGTAGAGCCTAGGCTTAAACCCAGATGGTGTGGCTCGAGAGCCGGAGTTCTCAACCATGGAAACATGCTGCACCCCAGAAAGGATGGTGACCCAGGCGGGGGGGTGCATGATGTGCAGGGTGTGGAGGCGGGCATAAGCGTGGCATTTATTTGTTCCGCAAACATGTATTCATGCAATGAGTAACTTCTAACCGCTCAGTCCTGAGGTGACAGTAATGAAAGACACAGCCCTGTCCCATAACGGTTGTAGGGTGTCGAGGAATAAAAGACACTGGATTATTCCAGAGGTGAGGCTGGGGATCTGACTGGCCCTGGGATGGGGAAGACTTCATGTGGAAGGGACCTTCAGAGTGAGAGTGTAGGTCAAGGGAAAGTGAGAACCACAGGGCAGGGGGGAGGGGGTGTCGGGGGAGGGTTTCCAGGAAGACGCACCGAGGAAACAAGCTCCCGGGGGTGTGAGAGGGGCGTCGGGCCCTCGCAGGGCGGGCTGCCAGTTTTGATCCTAGCGGCCACGGGAAGCTGCCAGAGTTGTAAGTAGATGTGTGTGTGCCACGTTCCCGGACTGCAGAGGAGCCGCGGTGGATCAGGAGACCAGGCAGGAGGCTGGTGCAGCCTTCCCGAGAAGAGCCCAGACAGCCAACAAGACGAGGGGGAGGCTTCTGAACGTGATTCTGAATATGGCATGACCGCTACAGGAACCAGCCCCTGCTGGGTGCGGGGAGAGCAGGAGAACCTAGGTCAGCAGAAAGACGGGAGTTTCATGGTGGCCATGTGCACGTGGCCATGGGGTGCAAGCTAGGAGCTCAGGTGTCCAAGCTGGGGGTGCTAGGTGGGAGTTGGCCACATAGGTGGCTGACGCGGACAGCCCCGGGAGTAGGTAGTGTGGCTTTGGGGGGAAGGTTTGACATGAAAAGCAGGCCCAGTCAACTTGGAGGAACTCCAACCTTTACAGTTCAGCTAGAGGGAGCCTCGGGCCAAGGCGGCCTACCAGGTAGAAGGAAAGCAGCAGTGTGGGGCTCCCCGAAGGCCACCCCTTAAAAAGCAGGGAATATGATCTTCAGAATAGAGGAAGTGAAAGAAGTGAAACACAAAACCACGCATACGTATGCTCCCACTTGTGGAGAAGACACAGGAGGTCTGCAATACACTCGCATATCGAATAAACCTGAAAATGTCTGCAAGGACCTGTGCGAATGTTGCCAGGATGGCCTCAAGGTGCACCGTGATCGGGTGGGGACTTAATTGTATACATTTCATCTTGGTCGAATTTTCAAGGTACGTGTACGTAATTACCTTTTCAAGTTAATTACAAGTAAGAGATTAGGGACCAATTCCACCCCTCCTCAAAAGCTAACCCAGTGGTTGCTGCTCAGAGATCTGGGAAGATCAGGCCCAAAAGATGCTCTGGGCTGGCAGCACGGAGGAGGCCAGTGAGGCTGGCAAGGGCGGCGTGGCGGCGAGCCGCGGCGAGAGGCCGGGGCAGATGGAGGTGAGACTCAGACACGCACGGAGACGAGCCTGAGTGGCTCCGGCGGGGGAGGGTTGCAGGGGACGGGGCTGGAGGGGCCGTGAGCTGTGGGGGGACTGGGACGCCACCAAAGCTGGTGCTGTCCTCTTCACCAGCCGCCCTGTCTCTTCATCTCCGCTTGCGACACAGGTGCAGCCTGGCTGGGGCGTACCCCCCACTCGAGAGCTGCTGACCCCATCCACATGGAGAGGAGGCCAGCTCAGCAGAATTTGTTCTTAAAACACCCCCCTCCTAATCCATCTGCTTTGTGCGAGCGTTCGGTAGTTCATCTTAGAACCCTCGAGGGACCGCTGGTGAAGGTGCCCCGTCCCAGCTACCAGAACCTACCACCCCCCCTTAATGGTACCGGGGCAAATGAACGGGGACATTTGGTCCTTTCTAGTATTTGGTCTTCCTGTACAGAACGACAGTAGCATGCCGCTTCCGCAGAAGTGATCCTCGGGTCCCCGGACCCCCCCTGTCACGTTTGCTCAGCTCGTCTGGGTTTGAAGCGTGCTCCCTTTGACAGAAAGGATGGAAGTGAGGTGCATGGTTCTGCCCTCTGTCACCTGCTAACCTTGCACTGTCCCCACTCCAAACGCAGCTGTATGCGTGACATTGATAATGACATCGGGATTTGTCATGGGCCTCACTTCAGTGACCTCTTACATGTCCCACCATCTGCATATTTCTGGCCCATGGACCCCTTTTAGTCTCTGAACACCCCCACACACACCTCCCCCGGAGCTGGCCGGTCCACATAGCCATGCACGTTTCCACAAATGCCGGCCCTGAGCTTTGCACCAGCGCCAGGGTGAAGATGTCCTCTTCTGAGGTCTCCCCAGGCGGGGAGAGCCTCGGCTCTGGGGGTGAGCATCACTTGTCTCTCGACTTTGGGGAATCTGCTGGATGGCGGCCGGGCTTCGGAGGGAGCGAGGAAGCCGAAGCCAGGAAACCCGAGGGAGGAAGGGCTCGTGTTCCCAAGGAGGGCCTGCCTAGTGAGGACCGTCACCAGGATGCCAACCAGGGCACAGCCAGGCCTGAAGGACCTGGGGCTAAGCACTAACCCTCAGGGTCCCCATCCTTAAGTGGTGTGACAGCAGTTTGCTTGTTGAGCTCTGATGGTGGGTTTGTGACTTCTCCTCCTAATCCTCGAGGCACCCTGAGCCAAAATCTTGCTGTTCCCATTCTCAGAGCAAGGGCTGCTGTGAGGCGCTGTGGGCAGCTGCTTCCTTGTGCACACTCCTCCTGAAACCCTTCACCCTTACACTATTCAGCTACATAAACATCCTCCGTATCCAGAGTCTTCTCTTGGACGTACCATAAATATCTCCCCACCCTCTGTGCCTGAACGAAAAGCAGTCGTTCTTCCCATTTCTGCATATTCCCAACAGATGCACCCAAACCCCTGAGAGACCGGAGTGCCCCCCACTTCCCACCGCCCCAGGGCTGCCCAGACCTGTGTTCCCCACTCTGCCGAGACCTTCCACGGCCCTCAGGACCCTCCGCCATCCAGCCCGTTCGGCTCCACGGAATCCCTGACCCCAGCCGCAGGGCGGCCTGCCTATGGTGTTCTGCTGCCGCCCCCCGCCCCCGACACCCTCCTGCTCCTCTTCCACCTCAGCGGGGTCCCAGCTCTCCCAACACCCTGCAGCTTGCTCCCAAGAATGGGCTCCTTCCAGCCCTTTCCATGGGCTGAGGGTCAGCACGGGTGGTGCGTGGCGGCCTCTCTCAGTAGCGCCTCCCCCCACCTGCCTGTCCCACTCCCACCGCGGCGCCCGTCACCACGGACATTCCTTTCATGCCCTGAGGCCTTGGTTCAGCCGCACCACTGTGCTGTCCATCCACGTCCTCACCGAGTCCAGCTACCTGCTCTTCGTCTCTGCCGCCCACACCATGACACACCTTCCCCTGGTCTCCAGAAGGGCTCGCCTTCGAAATCCTCACCTCACTTCCTGCTCCCAGGCCGCCCTCTCCCCCGTCCAGGTCCCCCCGGATGCCCCTCCTGTGCCTGTTCTGGGACTCTGGGCTCTGACCTCCTTCCTCTCCACTCCTGGGCGGCCCAACCTCCCCCAGGCGCCCACCTCCTCCCCTTGTGCTCCTTGCCAGCCATCCTCCTGGCCAAACTCCCGCCATAAACAATGGACACATGATCTCCTGCGCCTGGACCCAGCCTCGGGGGACAACTGAAGACCATCACACAACCACAGTCCCCATGGTCCCCAGGCTCTAGTCCCCTCTGGTGCCAGGAGGTGGCCTGGCCCTCCTGCCACCTTGGCTCCGGAG